CAGATACTGTACATGGGTAGGGTGAGGTCTAGGGATCGAACCCTGGGTACTGCATCTACTGCATCCGCTACTGCTAAAAGGTGAAAACCGTTTCATATCCGCCTACTACCCGAATTTCCGGACAGTGGAGAGTAGTGCAGTGAGACCCAAACTCTCCAAAATAGGGTTTTCCCAATCACTGCTGCACTTACTATCCGAGCCCCTACTCTCCGATTCCTGAGTCCGCTACCAGACATCGTGACAACAGATGAAGACATGGTGTCATCACCGTTTTGCTGCCCAGACTCCAGGCACACTCTTCCAAAATTCGATGTCCTACGGTGAGTTCGGGCCTCGCTGCACTACTCTCCACTCTCCAAAAAATCAGAGAGTTGTCGGAGAGCTGAAAAGCTCTCCAAATTCATGATTCTTGGTTCACCGCCGCACTTAACCATCCACTCTCCCAACTCCAAGTCGTCAGTGCACTACGGTAGCAGACAGGGTGGCAGCACTGGAGGACACAGCGTGATGTGCACTTTGTCCGTCCAGACTCCAGGCACCCTCTCCGAATTTGGAGAATTTTGGAGAGTCGAGGGGAGGTCCATCCGGCAAACCACCATTGCAGGCTGGGCACTCTCCACCAGCGGAGAGTGCTTTTCCAGGGTAGTTTCTGACAGCTATCCAAAGGTTTTTGAGGGGTGGAATCAGATAATTAGTGCAGCTATCAAAAACTCTCCGAATTTGGAGAGTGGAGAGTAGTGCAGCGAGACCCCTCCTCAAAGGTCTATCCGCGTAACGAATTTTGCAGGCTGGGCACTCTCCGCCCAGAGAGGGTGCTTTTCTACGGTGGTTTCTGACATGTATCCAAGGGTTTTGGGGTGGTGGAATCGGGTAGTTAGTGCAGCCAAAACAAAAAAAAACAAAAAAACAAAAAAACTCTCCGAAATTGGAGAGTGGAGAGTAGTGCAGTGCAGCGACTGCACTACTCTCCGGATGCAGAAAATACAAAAAAATATGGCAGTGCATCTTTCCATGTTCTAGGGGAAGATTCATTCCCATTTTGCACATTTCGAGAGACGTGCAGCATGGCCCATAAAATGGTAATGGCACGGCCTGAAATAAAAATAAAAAAAATCAAAGTGGGCAACAGAAAATGTGGCTGGACTACCCAAAAAAACAAAAAAACTCAGCTAGTCTGGTTTCCAGGCAGCCACCAGCTGACTAAACACTGGCTGGCGTGGCAAGAACAGGTTGGCAGTAAAGACGCTGGTCGCCAGTACAACGGCCAAATTGGAATGACTGACGAAACGCCACTGACACAACCTGACTACTGTGAAAAACGGGGAAATCCAAGAAAATTCCCGTACTCGCCACGCAAAGGGAGTGTCACAAACATCGACTGACACGTGGATTGGGCAAGTTACCGTTGGTAGAAAACGAGTTCTCATGGGTAACGGTACCACTGCAGGGATCGGAGAGGGCACAACCGTCTATCATGGGAGAATGACGAGACCAAAGGGAAAATCAGCGGCCGGAAATGACTTTTAAGTTTTTACTAAGTTTTAGAGTTTTCAACTTTTCACAATAAAATATGGCAGGTACACAACTTGGCACTAGAATTCACAACTCCGCACTAGAATTCAAGTTAACAGAACCACAACTAATTTCTAAAGTTGTGAATCCTGATAAAACGCGCCAGCGAGACCCCGGCAGTGAATTCGAGAGCTATCAGCAGTGATGCACACGCCCCACACAGGACTCGCTCCTCCAGCAACTTGCTTTGCAATGTTTGCAGATTTCATTTTTCCTTTTCTTTTCTTTCTGAAGTTTTTTTCTGTTTTCTGTTTTCTGTTTTCTGTTCTTTCTTTTTCTAGATATCGATTACGGTGCCCCCCCAGCCGTTTTGGAGAGCGGTAGCAGTTGCGCCACTGAGGATGACGGCACTTCAAGCTATAGTAGACAGAAAGGCTAGTAGCAATTCTAAGTTCCAGCATTGCATACAGTCTGAAAGTCTTAGAGTGAATTGGGCGAGTGCAGGTTAACTTTACTACCTGAGAAGTTCAAGTCAGAAGGGTAGATAATAGATATCGTTGGTGCTCATAGCGATGGTTCTTTCATCATAATGGTACAGTGACTCAATGAGAGTGAGCCCCCGTTATCACTATTTCTCTTGCCTCTTGCCTCTTGCCTCTGCTCATCAAGTCCCGAACACAACGCAGGGCTGTTCTGCTGGTTGACTGGGGCAAGCAGAGGTGTCCGGAGACAAGTACAAACCCGGCGGATGTGGATGAGCAGTGCAAATGTAACTGTTGGTAAACCGGTCACGGGTTTGAGATTCGATGGAATCAGATGATTACAATAGTTTTCTTCGTTTTCCCTTGGCGCGTTTTGACCTCTCCTTTATTTTGGCCCTCGGGATTCAAATTCGAACACACATAACCCAGTTGCATATTGTACCACCCAGCCCCATGTGGCATCACCAGTGTACCCCGCATTGTATGGCCCACCCCACAGAGTACCCCACAGCCAGACCGCCCAGTCCACATGGTACCACCCCACCCTCAGGGTATCACCCAAGCAGCAGAATATGCCTTAGACCACATACTACCACCTAGCAATGTCACGGTGTGCTCGTTCTTTTGTGCTTGTGAGAGTTGTGCATGTGTGTATTCTTTTGAACTACATAGCGGTTCTCTCTTTTGGGGGTGGGTTCTTTTTTTTTTTTGTCGAGGAATGGGGTTTCCTGCAGCCAGGGCCACATAGCATCACCCTGCACACACACACACACACACACACACATCCCGGTCTTGCTAGCTCTCTGTCTTGGCAGATTTGAGCGGCTAAGATCGGGCTCGTACTAGCGAGCTATTCTTCTTTGTGGTGGATTATTTGTTGGTTGTTCTTTATTCATACATGGCCTAATTCTCTGACCTGTTGTAGAGCATGGGCTGTCGCTTGATGAAGGTATGTCTGTGGGCCACCAGCAATTCTCTGACCTGCTGTAGAGCATGGACTCTCTCTCTCTCTCTCTCTCTCTCTCTCTCTCTCTCTCTCTCTCTCTCTCTCTCTCTCTCTCTCTCTCT